ACCAGGTTTCACCAGGTGGGAACGCGAGGCGACTGTTTCGAACAAAAGCGTCTAGCACTGCTGATTTTCATACATCGTGGAGCCGTGGTGGGCCTAAATGGTCTACCCCCTCGTATAGGCAACTAAAAGCAAGCAGGCGGTGCAAACACCTGAAGCCTGATCTTGGAGAAGTTCGTTATTCATTATCAATCATTATTATTTTATTTCGTTATTGGTTATTTATCAAACAGTCGTGCGTTGATCGGATAAAGTTTTGCCTGGAGTTTCCAGCTGTTTTCACTCAAATAGATTTTGCCGAATCTAACTTATGAGGCTCAGCAGTCCGACTTTGCACGGTTAATAATGATGATAAAAAGCTTATAAGCTTAAGCTGACATCGTCTGTCGTCTGAAACAGGGAAGCTTTTAATAAGATCATGTTATCCAGCGTATATTCCCGTGGTGCAGACAATGATTAGCGTAATTGAATGCTTGACTGTGCGAAATGCGGCGGTTTGTTACCTTACAGCCGCCATGGCAGCCGTCATAATCTATCGTGACGGCGAAACGGTTAGCGTTGGTTAACAAAGCTCTAATGGAGTTGTTACTGATTCATGGCTGTTGCACAGTGAACAGCAGATCAGCGGTTCCTCTGTCGTCCCTTGGAAACGGGAGGGGGTGGGATAATTTATTTGCAGCAGCCAACTACGATCGTACGTTATGATGATTGTGGTGCAGCCATATGCTGCTCAGTGATAAATGATTTCCAAACCATTCTGCTGATGACCGAATACAATTGCTTCTAGTTCCAAAACTGGCAGCAAGACAAAAGACATTGTTTATTTATCGAAGTATATTCTTATCCAGTTTCGACCCACTGGACATCGGTCACCATCAGGCTAATAAAATCATTCGTACGGTAAGGACATTTACCTTTCACAATTTAACCGCAGAATGGAGAACGAAAGAATAAACGATTTTTGATGTGTAATCAACCGAAGGATGGTTGATAGTTACACTTTTGCCCGTCATTTGAACCTTGACCTTACAGGCATAATGACTGTGCCGAATGCTAGAGTTTGGCATCATTGCCTTTCGTTCTACTGCGGCACTCCGCTAAGACGCTCATCGGAAAGTTCGCTCCCTCTTTGCTATGGTTATGTTTTGAACATTTATACATTTTGTATATGTCTACTTTTTTAGGATTCGAATTCACGAACACTTTGCCAGTTTCACTTGTGCACGTACAAAAGCCTTTGGTGATTCAAATAGTCAGAAGTGTGCATTTGCCTTCGTCAACGTCGTGAACACGTCGCGAACATGACCGAACTTGCTTGAACTCGAATCGAACCGATCATCGTCTATTCGCTCCGGTGCATGTGCTCGGCATCCGATTGGTAGCCTTAGTAAAAACTGCAAAAACCGTTCTTCGGTGACTGTTTATTATTCGTATGTTTTTAAGTGTGAGACCTTCGGCTGCTCGTCGCGCATATTCCCATCGTTGCTACGGTGGCGATTGGCCTCCTCCGGCCGGTCACCTGCTGGCCGCATGGCCAAATCGACTGGATAAATAATGAACTTGCGGGACACCGCATGAAGTTCGAACATACTCGATAGCCAACGTATGGTTTTTGCGGACATCGATTTGAAAGGTTTTCTTCTGGTGGCTGGCCGTCCGTCAATCAGTCAGTGGTCTCGGGCTCTGGTTGGTCGGCACGGGAAGCCAATCGGCGAAAGCCTGCTTGTGTGACTGATGCCACCGGATCGAGTTTCGCCGCTGCGTTCTCGGTCGGTCGGTTGGTTGGTCATTGTCGTCCGTCGTTTCGTTTACACCA